TTTTACTTGATTTAATTTGTATTTATCTTATCGTTTATATTCTTATTATTTTCTAATATTTTTTTTCTTATAATTTTTTGCTTTTGTAATCAACTTTTTATTTTTTACATTTAATTATTATTCCTTATTATTTGTACTAATTTTGTTATTTATATTTTTTTATCAATTTTTTTTCACTGAACGAACGAACAAGCGGCTTCACACTACATTTAGCCCTGCTTTCCCAAAGCAGGGCTAAATGTAGAAACCAACTTACTGCCCGTGCGTCGGGGGATTTCACATCGCTGACGCCCCGAGGCCAGGCCTCGGTGGTCTTGTGGGGAATCCGGCCCTGATTACGCTGGTGTAATCATTATATATATATCAACCCTCCAGTAGTGGCATAGTCCAATCAGAATATGGTGCAAGCCTTTTAAATGAACCCATATGGCTATATACTGAGATATTGCTAAACTCATTTTTATATGATCCCATTTCACTGTGATTGGATTTCACAGCGATCACATAATTGGGAGCCCATCCTACCAGCTCCCAATCATTAATCTGTGACCAGAAGCTGTCAGCGACAGCATGGTCACTGTGCTGGGGGTGCGCAATTAAACATACAGTAATGTGTATATGTGGCAGCACAGAATAAGGCCTACCACATATGCATAGGGCTGGGGGGAGAGGATGAAAAGCAGCTGGAGTAGAAAAGCCTATTTTCATTCCAGCTTGCTCTGAACAAGGTCCCTTGATCACTATGTGGAAGCAAGGATCTCTCTGCAGAGGTTTTTGCTGAGCTGGGGGGTACAAGCCAGGCCACTCACAGCTTAAATTTCGACAGAGCCCGGAGGAGCCGCATGAAATTTAAGCAGTGTATAACCAGCTTATAAACATCATAAAGGTTAGCTCTGTACAAATGGAGCCCAAAACAAGCGTTCTTAGTAAATTTTCTTTCCAATTCAAATGTACTAGGAATAAAATACAACATTATGGCCACTAGATGGAGCTGAGGAGTGTAAGGAAGTAGTATTTATTTCCTATGCTCCTCTGCTCCATCTAGTGGCCATAATGTGGTATTTCATGATGACATTCAAAATTACAATGGACTTATAAAAGAAAATTTACCAAGCACATTAATTTTTTGCATTCATTTACACACAACGAACTGAGATTTGTTTGGTGAATGGCTCTGCAAATTCTATTAATAACCTTTTACAGTCCATTCCATCCTATTTCAGCACAGAACATTTCCAGTCCCACTGTAAAAAAATATACAAAAATAATACATTCCTGTTTCTTTAATGACAGGTTCTTTTTAAAATTCAAAGTCGTCCCGTGTGGCTGGGTTGTACATTGGATCCAGAAAGTTTCTAAACACAATGCGTGATGTGTAATTTTAATCCTCGCCTTTTATATGGTATTGAGGTTTTAAACTGCAGTCTGTGTTCTGTTGGCTGGGCTCTCGCTGCATTATTCTCATTCTCAGCGGGAGAATTGTTCCTGAATGTGTAATAAGTTTGCACATCTGCTGCTGTGTAGGTGACCTGAGTATTTATAGGACTGTTATTTCCATGTCTTAGAACCTTCATGGAACAATAATCCTAAAATACAAGCTGGCAGAAAATGGCTTTTAATAACATTTGCAGACATATTTAGGGGGGGGATCAGGTTCACAATCTGCACAATCAAAACTAACAAGACTCTCCACGGCAGGTGACTGCTGACAGCGAAATAAACAATGTTGCACTGTGCTGCATTGCAATTTTAATCACAGGTTCACTTTACAACCAAGGACAAAAATTAGGGAATTTGGAATTTAAAAAGATAAGTTGAAAAGTAAAAAAAAGTTTCTTTGTGTTTTCAGTTTAATTCACAGGAAGTTACAATGACATTTCTGGCAGGATCATCAGGTATTTTCTGTAGATCATTTGAACAAAGCTGAAGTGGCACATAAATAATCACTATTTGGATTAAAGGAGAACTATGAGGTGAGTGAAAATCACTCATCCTCATAGTTCGAGCCGACCTGTGACAATGAAACTGTCACATGTTGGCTCAATTGATCGGGAAGTGAGCCAACACATACCAGCGCCTGCTCACTTCTCGATCATCTCCCTGGAGAGAGCTGTGACTGTCAATTACGGCTCCCTGCAGAGATTCCCCCCTCCCTGCTCCGATCCTTCAGCGCTGACTGGAGAAACAGATAGGGGAGAGGCGGGCACAGCTGGCTCTGCCTCTAGATAGTCAGAGCCAGCTGTCACTCACGCAGCTGGGTGGATCCAGACAGCAGTGTCAGGATCCGTCCCAGCTGCGGCGGTCTCAGTATACCCCGAGCTGTAGCTTGCGATATACTGAGCTTTGGGTCACGGCAGCAGGTTAGTACATGTCCTCCCGTAACCTTAAGAGAACTATGGGGAAAAACACTTACCCCATAGTTATCTTTTAATTTATTTCACCTTACAGAGGCCAAAATCAGCACCACTTGGTACAAATGCATACCAGTGACTTGCCAGAATTCAGAATTCCTCAGCAGTGTGTCCCAGAAGCCCCCAAACCTGGCTCATGCACAGTATGCTAATCTAGACTTCTCTCGGGACTGGAACATACACCACCAGGCTTGGAAAATTATTGCAGGGGCAGCTGCTGCTTACTTCTCGTCGACATGGGCACGCCCCCTGCAAGCCCTTTCCCTACACACGATGTGTGCACAGTTTACCCATAAAATATGGGGAACCATACATCCCTTCATTTGCGGGTGTCTTATTTGCAAGAACATGCAGGTTCTCTGTTTCAACATTACCCTTTCACTGAGCTCACTGCCACCACATCTACAATCATTGGATCATGTGATGAGAAACTGTGTGCCATTCACAAGCACTGGAAATGTCTCCCTATAGCTAGTCATACACAGGGCATGGAATGAGAGAAATCACTCAAACAACGTTGAAAGAGGAATCCCCCCTGGCATCTATTTTATTGGGCAGCCAGCACCCGCGACTGCCTGAACACCCGAAACGGTGACTGCATTTGAAGATGCAGTCAATGTTCGCCTGACAATTTTCCTACTGGCTCCTTTTGTGGAGCAGAAATGGCCTGAAATGTAAGCAGTGTATGGCTAGCTTCGATCTAGCTGCACTGGCTTTTATAAAAGTAATCAACCATAAGGGCCGGTGCACACCTAGGCTACACCTCACCATAAGGCAATCGTGCACGATTCCGCACGGATAGCTGCGTGGTCAGGAGTCGCCAAGGGGTGAACCGATCGCACTGTGGGTGCCATTATTTTCGAATGGCACCCCAGTCGGATTGCACGGTTTCCCCATTGAAATCAATGGGGCCGCGTGGCAACCGATGCCTGCATTGTGCAGGACCGCGCGATCCCGGATTGCAGAGGTCTGCACCGGGCCTCAATAATTTACTTTCACTCTCTTCAATTCCTGTGGGTCAAGCAGTCAGAATTCCTCAATTGACTCAATGGCCATGAAATGCACATGAAGAAGACCCCCATTTTAAATTTGTGTCAAAAAGTCCAAATACGAGATCAAAGCCACTTGCTCCATTTTAAGTTGACACAACTGGACTGAAAGCCACTGACGCCTTGACATGAGAACCCATGATCAAAATAACATCCTCATTTATGTGAGACACAAACAGATATTTTTTCCTTCCCCAAATAATTCGTGACTAGGAATTTGAGCGCTCACAGACACTTGAACACGGTGTAAACCAACTAATGTTATTCAGATCATAGCTTGTTGTCAGCAGAGAAGCTTTGATGTTGTTTTGTAGAGGTGGGGGGAAATATCTCCCCTCTCTTCTCTTCTGAGGATAAGGAAACAAAATCTTGACAGGCCATCTCGGCTCTCTAAAAATAAATGATCTGATCCGGGGATGGTGAACAAAGCAGTCATCATGACTTATTCATTGAATGCTGTCACCTGAAATAGCCAACAGCTCCCCAAACTATGTATTTAGAGCAGTCTGGAAGGAATGGGGAAGGCAGTGCACTTTGGGGACACCCTTGGAAAGAAAATTTATACCTGCATTACTTTTCCATTACCTGTTCTTCCAGAGGTATATGCTCTCTAACAGTATTACTGTCTGATACTGCTAATCGCTGCACTTATGCATATAATGTATAGACAATTACACCCCTGTTTCCTAACAATCTGTGCTGGGACTTTAGGTCTTTGAAGTCTCCAGCATTATAATTAAGGACTACTGATTTGAAAGAAGTAGGTAGGTTGCCTTTGCCAATTTCCTTTTGAAAATGGTAGTTGCCCGTCTGTCGTGTTGGTCTAGTGAAGTGGTCCTTAAACCGTCATGTACACCTTTGGAGCAGTTGAACTTCATCCACCACCTATACATATTTTTGGATCACTCATACTGGAAGGCCAATTTAAAAAGGATCAGAGGCCTAGTCTAAAAGGCCAAATCCATCATATACAGGTGAAACTCGAAAAATTAGAATATCGTGCAAAAGTTCATTTATTTCACTAATGCAACTTAGCCGTCTACCAGGAGATTTTGGAGCACTTCATGCTTTCATCCGCAGACGAGCTCTATGGGGATGCTGACTTCATTTTCCATCAGGACTTGGCACCTGCCCACACTGCCAAAAATGTTCTGAGATTGTGGATCTGGGTTTTCATGAGCTGTAAGCCATAATCATCACAATTATGGCAAATCATGGCTTGAACTATCTTGCTTTGCATGTAATGAGTCCATCTCATATATTAGTTTCACCTTTTAAGTTGCATTAGTGAAATAAATGAACTTTTGCACGATATTCTAATTTTTCGAGTTTCACCTGTATGGGTATCAAAGTGTTAGGCATATTTGGGGAAATTGCAGATAATTACTGATTTGGTGTAATTTAAATCTGAACTTGGGGAAAAACAAATAACATCCCTTGCAGTGGGGCTGCCGCCACATTGCAAAATAACCCTGGTTGGGAACACCAAGTGATAATCCATGATCATGACCGTTGGGGAGAAGAGGTGAGCGCCAACTGCCTGGGGATCAGGGTTGCGGTTGGAGATTATATAGACTTTCCATACATTTGCTTCCATCTATGCCCCATAGATGCCCGCCCCATTACCACTAGGCCTTCCTACAGCAGTTTCGTGGCCAGAGCATCATTTACATTCAGAAATTAAGGGAACTGTATGGAGGATGTTTCCTTCCCACATAAGGGGAGAACCCCTGTTTAGGTATGACCCAAATGTTCTTAACAACTAAAGTAAAGTTGCTCTTTAAAAGGCGGGGCTAAGACTATGTATAAATAACAGCTACACAGAAATGGAAGAGACTTCACCCTTTAAAGGAGAACTATGGGGTCAGTGTTTTTCCCCATAGTTCTCCTTAGGGTAACGGGAGGACACAAACTAGCGTCCTCCCGTTACCCTAAGCTCAGTATACTGCGAGCTGTAGCTCTGAGATACTGAGATGCCGCAGCCTATCCAAATGTAGGAGCAAGTCTTTGTGGAGCTAGAGGGCTGTATCTAGGTGCTGTCAAGATTTTGGCACTGGAGTTCCAAAGACATATGTGCTGCTTATGAAAAAGCATCTCCAGATGCCTACTATTAACAACTTTCCAGCAAAGCCTTCTTCCTCCAAGTCTGAAATTACTTGGAGGCCTCAACATCTCAAATTGGAGTATAACCTTCCCCAACCACAACACTAACAGGGCTATTCACAAAAGGGGTGAAGAGTTTGGAGAAGGCAGGAGAAGTGAATAATCTAGGACAACATAGTTGATTTGGAAAACTTATCCAATTCAGCTCACTTTCCCGTTCAGTTATGTTGGTCTAGATTGTTCCCTTCTCCAAACTCTTCACCCTTTTGTGAATAACCCTGTTAGTTCCACCTACCCACCTTCCTCCTGTTCAGTAAGAGCGCCCTGCTGACTGATGGGACAGATGGGAAGGAAAGGGGGTTGAAGGGTGGAAGGTGGACTGGACTGAGCACCATGTATAGACAAGGCTTAAGTCCAAAGATGAGAAATCATGACCTCCGCAGCAAATTACTATAACCTATGATGGTGCACAGACAAAGCATAAGAGCAGAGAAATCAGCTGCCTGCTAGAAGCTGCCAAGGCAGTCCTTTTAGTTTAGATAGAATGGATAGAGCAGGCTTACACTGATGTCATGGAACAGAGACTGCAGAGCAGAGTTACTTTTTTAAGTGCACTTTCAGATTAGTTGGTGTCTGCATTGGGAACAACTGTAAATCTGCTATCTGCCTATCTGCTCACTATTTTATGGACTATAGTAAGCCTCTCCTTCAACACAGACCTCTGGGGAAAAAACTAATATAAAAAAAACTAATAAACGATAACTTGACCTTTACCATCAGTGATAGGAGGGATCAAAGAAGGAAATAAGAAGACTTCCAATTGATTGCAACAGGATGTCATATTTTTTTTAGATACTGTAAAATTGGCACTCAGTTATTACTATTGAAGTCAGACACTTAAAATTATGTTTGCATTTGCTTTATGCTTATAAGAACTGAATAATCCAACAATTGTATTAGATAGGCAAAGACTGATATGTTGACAGCTCTAATTTGACAGAGGGGTGTTGACAAAATATTGCAAATGCCTTATGAGCTACAGAATGACCACTTCCATTGTCATAGCAAGATTACCTCGGATGGAGCTCCCGCCATTATCCCCAGGGATCCAAGACAGCGTTATGGATGAAGACGTACTTTTTGACACGGTAAGCCGAGGCTGGTCAGGTGGCACTAGAAAATACAAAGTTACATCCATATTTTACATTTCAAAATGTTAAAAGTTACCAGTAGACTTCATGTTTTATATAGACCTCAATGTGATTGTAATAAGCATGTTGTAAAAAATTGTGCCTATTAGAAAGTATATGCCTTAGGTTCAGGCAAACATATCTGCTTATTAAATATGCATGTGATTTACTATTAGTCTTATCCCAGGTCAAGGCCATAAAGATACTGATCATCATAGAAGCTCTAGATGGCTTATCCTGTAGCTGATCATATGCCAGCACACATACACTATGTGGACAGAATGTGGTTACCTGACCATTAGACCACTATATTACAAAAAGGATGTAGACTCCCCTCCAAATTATTGAGTTCTGTTGTTTCCAGTGATGGGTACTTTTATTGCTACAGCATATTAGACATTTTAGACAATTTTGCACCTCCAACCTTATGGTAACAGTTTGGTGAAGGTCCTTTTCTGTTGCAGCATGACTGTGCCCCTGTGCACAAAGCCATAGAGACGTGAATAAGTTTGGTGTGGAGGAACCCGGACACAGCCCTGACCATAACTCTACTGAACACCTTTGGGATGAATTGGAATGCCAGTTGCAAACCATGTCTTCGGTATCTGACCTCACATATGCTCTTTTTGCTGAGGTGGAGGCTGTGATAGCCATGGGGTAGGGGGAGGCAACTCCATAATAATCTAAATGGTTTTGGAATGGGTTGTCCAACAATGCAATATAGGTGTTATAGTCAGGTGCCCACAAACTTGGACACATAGTTTATGCTAATTATCATAATATACAGACATAATAACATCTAGACAATCTGCAAATGTGCATATGAAATGCTATAATAAAATAATGAGACAGCAAGGATGTAAAATCAAAAAAGAGGAGGAGAGGGAAAGGAGAGGAGGCAGAGAATGAGGAAACGTAAGAGAGGGATAAAGAGAGAGAAAGAGTGCAATAACTGAGGTTGACACAACACTGAATCAGGGAACAACCTGATCAAAGAGGAGTTTAAAATAATGATTGAAGTGAAGGCTGAGGTCCACAAGTGAATCAGAATAAAAAATAAAAATCTACCCACATACCTCCTCTGCTGTGCTCCAGTGGTGACCCCACTGAGAGCCCTCATAGATCAGAAGCAGCTCAGAAGCTACAACCTTTCTAGAAAGCTTCCTAGCTTTCTATGGTGCAGCTAGGAAATCTATCACCTTTAAAGCATTTCCTCTCTGTGATGGAAATTTTGAGCTGTCACATAAAAGCAACAAGATACCTCTTAAAGCACTACTCAGGCATGGTCTTCTTTAACGATAGTCTGTCATCTTGCCCATTTACGAAAAAGTGACAGGGTCTCTTTAAAGCCCACCCTTTGATATAGCTATATTTGCTTTCACAGTGCTACCTCATTCTTCTTTTTTATTCCCATCACAGCCACTTCTGGGCATGGGAAAGCAAGGGTGGACTTGCCCACAGGGTAATCATATTATTATTGTACAAGATTTATATAGCGCCAGCAGTCTGCAAATGCAAACGCCAATGCAGTGCTTTACAAAACTGAGAGAGACAATACAGTTATAAATACAATTTTAGTACAGGAAATTGGGAGGGTCCTGCTCGTAAGAGAGGGGGTCTCTTATTTGCAGTACAGATGTCTCTAGCACATTTACAAACATTCAGGTGACGCGGGAAGGCCTGAACTTTATCTTTTGTTTGTAAGCACAGTGACACCATGCTGTGCACACACAGCATGCCAGTCACTTTGTGGAGAGAGAACTAAGGAGGACTGAGACATGGGCAGGATGGCAGTGAACCGAGTCAGATGGGGGAGCAGGACTGTGCTGTCATGAAAGTGTACTTTTATTTAACATACTTAAAGGAGAACTATGAGGCGAGTGCTTTTCACTCACCTCATAGTTCTAGCCGACCTGTGACAATGAGACTGTCACAGGTCGGCTCAGTAGATCGGGAGGTGAGCGACCACATACCGGTGTTCGCTCACTTCTCGATCCTGTCACGGCTCTCTGCCGTGACAGGGGCTGGATTCCCCTCTCCCCTCTCCGATCCGCCAGCGCTGACTGGCAGAACGGACGGGTGAGGGGGCGGGTACAGCTGGCTCTGCCTCTAGATAGGCAGAGCCAGCTGTCACTCACGCAGCTGTATACTGAGCTTAGGGTGACGGGAGGACGCTAGTTTGTGTCCTCCCGTTACCCTAAGGAGAACTATGGGGAAAAGCCCTAACCCCATAGCTCTCCTTTAATCAGGGCTGTGCTGCCATAAGCAGCCCGCTTTGTTGTTGATTATTGTTGTGTTTTGGTGACTTAGGACATTCTACTTTTTCTCCCCCTCCTGTATTGTGGTGCATAATATAGTTGCCTGTTAGAAACTCCCATGGTCTCTTTACTTTGTTTTTTGCCCTTATATAGTAAAAAGCTTCCCCTATAGATTTAGGAATAATATTGTCCCATGATGTTCTTTCACCTTCACGAAATGCTCAGAAAACATCCTTGTAATCTGTCAAGTCTGGAGTAAACTACATTAGGTTTCATTCTGAGCATTCTTGGTGAGTCGACACTGCCTGTTGATTTCTGCCAAATCAGCAAGTTACCATATTGTCCGTACAGACTGGGTCTCAGGAGGTATGTCTGATTGCATAATTGATAGCTGAAACAGAACAAGGGTTACGGGAGCACAAGGACTCACCCTATGCTGACATGCTATATTTCTGATCCTTCACTCATCCACATAGAAGTATGAAAGATCAGCGCTGCATTTATCAGTGACAAAGAAGTGCACTTAGGCTAGAAACAAATATTTAACCCCCAGGCTGTAATATAAAAAATGATGGAAAATTGTGCCATTGTGAGATTGGCCCGTGCCATGTCATGTGGCTGTTACTTGGAACTAGAGGGGCGGAGGGAGTTTCATCTTTTATATAAAATATTTGCAGCTCATATTTAATTCATTTCGCTACAGCGGCCGCTTTAAAAGTCACTGCTTTGCTGCAGAAGGTATTTTCAACCTTCCGGATTTGTTAAATACCTGCTCTACCCGCCACATGCTGTGGTTCCTTCTGCCGTCTGCTATGTGCTATTGTATTGTCATCCTATTGCTCCTATGTCTTGTTCTGTTGCATAAGCCAATGGGTGGAACCACAGCATGCAGTGGTAGGAGCAGGTATGCAACACACCTGGAAGTATGGAACCTGTAGTGGCTGAGGAGCAGCAAAGCAATTACATTTGTAGAGATAGGCCACCGGAAGGGTAACTATACATGCTATTCTTTTACAAACCAGTCTTTTTTTTTTTTTTAAGTGACACCTTCAAGTTTCTTGTTGTGTCAGTCTGGTACTGATTTTGTACTAAGACATTTAGCTGCTTTTGTCAGTATGGAACTAAGGGCGTCTTTGTGGATTATTGTTTGGCGTGGCGGGAGACATTTGTGTAGGTGGTGATGATATTGCAATTTTCTAAAATATAAAATTTTACAATCGTGTGGTCTAGTGCCTGTGTGCCTTGTGTGTCTTTGTGGATTATGGTTGTGTCTTTTTGTAGTCACCAAGTTTATTTGAAACATGTGAAATGTGTGCAGTGTGTACCGTGAGAAGGCTCAGACTCTGTTCCACCACACCTCTCTAAGACTCCATTCACATCGGGGCGGTTCGGCCGCACGAATCCGCCGACATGAACGATCCCATACATTGCTGTGGGAACAGGGCGATTTTGGGCGTTTTTAATTGAGTTTCAGCACTGAAACGCAATTACTAACTCCCAAAACCTCCCTTTTGAGATCAACGCAGTAACCGCGCTAATCCGCAACCGCTCTGCTGTGAATGGCCTCTTAATCATTCTCAATATGCAGCACTTTGTAGCCATACCCAACAAGAGCAGTTAGTTATTGGGTGATTTTCCCATTTACATATACCATGAGATGAGTCTACCACCAATCACCCAACAAGAGCAGTTAGTTATTGGGTGATTTTCCCATTTACATATACCATGAGATGAGTCTACCACCAATCACCCAACAAGAGCAGTTAGTTATTGGGTGATTTTCCCATTTACATATACCATGAGATGAGTCTACCACCAATCACCCAAGAGCAGTTAGTTATTGGGTGATTTTCCCATTTACATATACCATGAGATGAGTCTACCACCAATCACCCAACAAGAGCAGTTAGTTATTGGGTGATTTTCCCATTTACATATACCATGAGGTGAGTCTACCACCAATCACCCAAGAGCAGTTTGTGCACTAGGATTTTTTTTCTCAGTCTAGAAAAAATGTCCATGTAGCTCTCTAGTCAACTTGTAGATCTCATGTCCATGTTAATAATGGTTTCAAACTCCTCTGTTTAGTCCAGGTTCTAATCTCCATCTCATTTCTAGACTCATTTTTCCAATGTACAGTAAGAGTTCAAAGGAAAAATTGCACACTAACTCAGTTATGCGTAAAAGAAGCCAATCTGCATACATGATGCCTTTTAGTGTTTTGCAGTGTTTGTATCCGCATATACTTTTGATTTAATCTTATCCAGTGCTCATAGGTCTTTGTGACTGAAACTTGAACTCCAGCCAACAGCTAAATACACATATGAAATACATGTATGGTTCTTTTACCTTTCAAAGGATTTGTATTTCTGTTGATCCAGTTCTAAAATTAACACAGCTCTACCACACAGCACCGGTCTGTCTGGCAGGACAGACCTGATTTTTCTCTGCAGCAGCTTAGTAACACTTCTAGGTTTTATCCCTTTCTATCCTGTGAATGGACAGTAAAAGGAGAAGCAGCAGACTGTTGAGTTCATCTCTCTTCTGTCAGTCTGCTCTCTCCTCCTATCAGTATGCTCCATAAGCGCTGTTAGTTAGATTTAGGTATATACATTGCATTACATTGCATGTATATACCTGCATAAAAAAAAATACATTTAATGATGAATGATTAAAGGAGAACTATGGGGTCAGTGTTTTTCCCCATAGTTCTCCTTAGGGTAACGGGACGACACAAACTAGCGTCCTCCCGTTACCCTAAGCTCAGTATACCGCGAGCTCCAGCTCGTGGTATACTGAGACGCCGCAACCGGAGCGGACCCCGACGTAGATGACGGGATCCTCCCAGCTGCGTGAGTGACAGCTGGCTCTGCCTATCTAGAGGCAGAGCCAGCTGTACCCGCCCCCTCCCCGTCCGTTCTGCCAGTCAGCGCTGGCAGATCGGAGCAGGGAGAGGGGAATCCAGTCCCTGTCACGGCAGAGAGCCGTGGCAGGATCGAGAGGTGAGCGAACCCGGTATGTGTTCGCTCACCTCCCGGGCTACTGAGCCGACCTGTGACAGTCTCATTGTCACAGGTCGGCTAGAACTATGAGGTGAGTGGACATCACTCATCTCATAGTTCTCCTTTAAATACAAAGTTGCATTATTTGGTGCCCTGTATTTCTGCCTTGAGTTTCACTTTAATTTGGTGAATTACTCTTTGGTCTTTGTGACATTAATGCATTATTGTATCTCTGCATGAATTCATTTTAGGAACATTTTGTGGTCCCTCTGTGTGTGTGTGCAGAACCCCCAGTGATTTTTCAGCTGTGTCTATTCCCAGCGTGCTCTGATTACCATATAAATAGTCTGTTCACTGCAGAAGAAGATAGCGTTTCATCTTCCTAACGCTACTGAAGTTTACAAGGCACCAGAATACTGCAAAAGGTTTTTTAAATGTTTAAAGTGGAATTTGTGTACAGAGGTGTTAGTCACAGGGCAAGCAAATTCTTACCTACAGCTACCATTATTTATATAGCGCCAACATATTCCCGAGCGCTGTACAATCTTGTTTAGAAAAGACAAGAAAGAAACACTGACAAACATCATTGACATACAGAAGCAGTAGGTGAGGAGGACCCTGCCCTGCCTTACAGTCTTACAGCTGCAGACACCCAAAAACTTAGACAGTGCATGTAAAATGCTCACACTGGTGCAGTGGCATCACAAGGGGGATGCGGGGGCCGCACCCGGGTGACACCATTGGAGGGATGACACCAAAATGACTAGTAGTCATTTTGGTGTCACCCCCTTTAAAAAGTCGGGCACCTGGTCATGGACCGAGAGCCCAACAGTGTCGAGAGAGGAGGGGACCCGGCGGCATACCTTATCCCGCCGGGTGAACCTCCCCTCCTCTCTCTGCCGGTGTCCATCACCAGGATGGGCGCCGGCAGGCGTCAATTAGACGCATGCGCGATGACGTCACGCCAGGGTGTCACCCGGTCTCCACTCCGGGTGACATTTGGCCTCGGGACGCCCCTGCACTGGCGCCATGGGAACCTGTCAAAAGAACTTTCCACTTACGTGAATGTGTATTGCTTACAACATGCTCAATGAACGGGCAGGAAAAATATCTCGATCACAAAGTTTTGCATGTCTTCGACAATGGAAGGGACCGACAATTTTTAGTTCACCTTCAAAAAACCAGTGAAAGCATTTACAATACATTTTTTGTGTGACAGTTCTATGTGACCGAAGTATTATTGAACTGTTATTCTGGGTCACCAATCACCAATGTACAATTGTTCTCCCCAAGTGTCAGAGTAATGAATTTCCAAGTACAAGAGTAATGAATCCCCAAGTGTCAGTCTTCTGTTAAATTAGGATCCTAAATGGAATGTGGTATTGTTCCTGTAAACCAAATGTGACATTGTTCTGGCACCCCAAGGGTCAGTATATCATTGTTTTTACGAGTAAAGTGTCAGTATGCCTTGATTATACAATGTAAAGGCTGGATCCATATGGGTAGCAAAAGGAGTTGCTTGGCAGGCAATTCTGACTTTGCTCAGCACCTCCTAAATGGCACAAATGAAGAAGTGAACTGAGCCAGCAACATTCTTCAGGCCATGGCTGCCTATGTTTTTACATTGCTACATCCAGCAGTCTTCCTCCTCAGGAGAGTGATTTAGCTGCTAGTGGAATGAAACCCAAGCAATAAAGATGCTGAATGCTCCAGCGTCCATAGCAAATCCAACCTAGGTGTCAATATGCCTTTTTTCAGAACCTCAATGGTAGAGTGACATTGATTTGGAATATCAAGTATCAGTGTGCTGCAGCCCTGGGCCCTCAAGCATCAGTGTGCTTCTGCCCTACGACCTCAGGCGTCAAGTGTGCTGCTGCCCTGGGACCTCAAAGGTCAGTGTGCTTCTGCCCTGGGACCTCAAGGGTCAGTGTGCTTCTGCCCTGGGACCTCAAAGGTCAGTGTGCTTCTGTCCTGTGACCTCAAGGGTCAGTGTTCTGCTGTTCTGGGACCTCAAGTGTCAGTGTGCTGCTGTCCTGGGACCATAAGGGCCATTTTTCTTGAATACAAGGTGTATATGTGATACTGATTTAAGAACCCCAAAAAAACTACCCTTGCAGCGATGATACCCCCACACTACAAAGGTTAACTGCTCCTTTATTACTTGGGGACCAGAGTAAAGTCGTTTTACTTACCTGATCCTGGCTCCAGCTGTCTCCAAGACCGGCGCCCGCAGTTTCTACTTCCCTCCACTCCAGCTGGTGCTCTGACGTCATCATGTCTAATACAGGTTTCATAGATCTGCATTAGACGAGGAGACACCGAGGGACTTTCCACCAGCCGGAGCAGAGGGGAGAGAGGTGAGCGCAGACTGCTTGGAGAGTGGGGATTAGGTAAGTAAAACTACTTTACTCCAGTCCCCCAAGCATAAATGAGCAGTTAACCCTTGCAGAGCAGGGGTAGCCCCCACTCAGTGGCGTAACAATCGCCATAGCGACCCAGGCGGCCGATATGGGGCCCGGGCACAGGGGGGCCCAGCCAGGGCATCCCTCTGATGCCGTGTGGGCCGCTATGGCATATCAGGGTGCTGGCTGTCACTGACACAGCTCCGCAGCGGCTGTGTTAGTGACAGCCAGCAGCTGCGGCAGAAGATGCTGGTTACACCGGCGTTCGTAGTGAAGGAGGCGGAGCCCACCTTAGAGCAACCCCGCCTCCACTTACATAACTGGCCAGCGACCTAAGAGCAGGTGGGGTTAGTGATGTAAGAGGAGGCGCGGCCCGTCGATAGGAGGTGGGGCACGGGGACGGAAGAGGAGGCGGGGCCCGGCGACCACGGAGGCGGACAATGCTGAAAGGTTAGTGGTGTGCAGCTGATGTGAGACCCTGCAGAGCCCACTATAGAGAGTATATGGTGGGCTCTGCAGGGTCACTCTCAGGTGGTCTCTGCAAGTGGCATAACTAGCAATCACGGGGCCCCATACAAAATTTTGCTATGGGGCCCTGTGATTTCTAGTGACGCCCCTGCCCCCACTGTAAGGATAGTTTTTATGTTTGGCCAAAGATAGGCTTTAGGCCAATATTTGCCAGTGTGCTGTTGCTCTGGAACCCCCAGTGTCAGTGTGCTGCTGCCCTCAGACGTCAAATGTCAGTGTTCTTCTGACGTGGGACCTTAAGTGTCAGTGTGCTACTGGCCAACTATATTGTTTCAACCAAGTTTCAATGTGCCATTTTTCTGGGACCACAAATGTCATTGCACTATAGTTCTTCAACCCCAAGTGTCAGTGTGCTATTCTGGAACCCAACTCTCACTGTGTATTTCCCTGAAGTAACACCATAGCTGCAATGAATAAACATGAGTACCAATATTCTAAGGATCTAATTCACAATGGAGACTATTTCAGAATGGAAATGGCGTTCAGCCCCAAAAAAACGTTTCAAATGATCCATTTCTTACCTTGCACCTGCAGATTGAGGACAATCTCATCCGTCTCCCAGGTGTTTGTGGCAATGCAGCTGTAGTAGCCAGAATCCTCTGCTTTCACTGTACGGATGATAAAACTCCCATTGCTGTAGATGCTTCTTCGCCCATCAGTAATTACTGGAGTGGGTGTCCCGTTACTACCTCACAGGAAACAAAAATCATAAATTAAAGAATTACAATCAAAATACTTCACCACTGAGGTAAAAACACTGTTAAAATAAAGCATGCTATATCTACTTTATATGGTGGGACACAGTATACAAAATGCACTATTTGTGTTTAGTGATGAGTGGAGGGATTTCAGCAAAATTAATTTCACCGCTGGAGAAATTTCACTACAGAATTCACTCAATTTTACTCATTGAGCTGCTGAGGCAAAATTTGCTTTGAATTCATACTTTTTATTTGGAGGGTATTTTGATGTTTATTTTATTTAGTGTTTTTCCCCTTTTTTTGTATATTAAAGCCTATCTCTGGACAAAAAAAGTAATGCTACCCACACACTACAAAGGTTAACTGCTTGCTTATATCTAGGGGAACGGAGTTAAGTAGTTTTACTTACCTGCTCCTGCTGTCTCCACGACCAGTGCCCGTAGCCTCTACTCCCCTCTGCTTCTGGCTGTTGAAGGGCCGTTGATGTCATTATTTCCAATGCAGGTTCCAAAGACCTGTATTAGATGTGAGGACACCAAGGGACATTCCACCAGCTGAAGATGAGGGTGGAGAGGTGACCACAGACCACTGGAGGAGTGGGGATCATGTAAGCATTACTGCTTTACTCTGGTCCCATAGGCATAAATAAGCAGTTAATCCTTGCAGTGCAGAGAAAGCCATACTGAAAGTATTTATTTTTTTGGTTTGCCCGGAGATCCAAGTCATTATTTATGTTCTGTTGTGTTAAATTTTTATTTTACTTTTCTCCCAATCTGATTTTTCCTAAAAAATTGAGAGGAATACAAAATAATTGTTGGCACAAAAACAGGTCCAAGACAGTTGAAAGGCATTTCCGTAACCTTCAGCAGCCATTTAAAGTGACCCTGTCAGCAAACCAAGACTCAAAATGAAAGCTGTAACTGTAAAGTAGATGCTTATATCTCCTGCCTCCACCACCCCTCTGTTAATAGGGAATTGCTGGCTGAAGTCTTCTTCAGAAACAAACACTTCAGGGAATGTCTATCTCCTGATTCTAGCTCAGTGGTTCCTTCAACTGATCTTCACATCATTAAAGGTGCCCATAAGCTGGCCGAATTTCAGACGGTTTTTAATGTACCGGGCGGAATTCGCACAGTGTGTGGGGCTGTCGGCTCCCTTTCAGCCGGCATCAGCTGATCGAAGGAGCCTACTGGAAAATCTTTGTGCGATCAAAGCAGCCATTGAGCTTCCTGCTCTGATCGGGGTATTCTGACAGCGGGGATTCCACGAACGACACGCTGTTTGTGTTGATGGAGGAATCGCGTCAATTCTTTTTTTTCAGCCCGCGGGTTGAATTAAAAAAATTCACAGGTGTATGGCCAGCTTTAGAGGATACAGTAGATCAGCAGTCCTGTAAGTGTCAAATTCTGAAGAAGGCTTTAGCTGGCGACTGCTCTTCAACAGGGAGCATGTGACGGGAGACAGGATCCACTCCTATTTTAGGAGTTTCAGGTAACTAATGTGGTCACTTTAAAGAAGAACTCTGGGCATAATTTTTCTTAACCCTTGCAGTGGGGATACCCATGCACTGCAAGGGTTAAGTGCTCAATTTCCTCTAGGAATTAAAATAAAAAAAGTTATACTCACCTTAAAGTGACATTAAACCCTCAGATTTTTTAACATAAAACAATACTGTAATGTGTGCCTTACTGTAATCCATGGTAGTTTCCCTTCTCTTTGCTGCTCTTCCTTTTAAATCCTTCTCTCTTCTCATGCTGGGGAGAACTTCCCTTTGCAGCAGACTGCCTTGTCTCAGGAATGGATACATGGTGTCTGTGTATAGGTTTGCAACCTGAGCCAGCACTACAGGAAGAGGCACTCAGCTGCAAAGGGAAGTTCTCCCCCAGCATGAGAAGACATGAGGATTTAAAAGAAAGAGCAGCAAAGAGAAGGGAAACTACCATGGATTACAGTAAGGCGCACATAACAGTATTGGTTTATGTTAAAAAATCTGAGGGTTTAATGTAACTTTAACCTTGCAGCTGGCTGGCTACCACTCTGACCCTGCCGCTTGTCTCCTCCTCCGCTCCAGCAAGAGATCATCCCTTGGCATCCTCATGTCCCCTACACTGCACAGGACATGATGACTCACAGGACCTTAGACTGCTGGAGCAGAGGAGGGGCGAGTTAGCAGGGACTGGTCTAACAGCCAGCCGACTGCAAGGTTCAAGTGAGTATACCTTTTTTATTTTCATCTCTAGATGAAAATGAGCACTTAACCCTTGCAATGTGGGGGGTATCCCCACTGAAAGGGTTAAAAAAAACTATGCCCAGAGTTCATCTTTAAAGCCTATTGCAGCCTCAACAATTACCTTCGTTTTGCCTTCGCTATTGACTCCACTGCATTTAGTTAAAATAGCACAAGTTTGCCAATGTTGTTTCTAAAATGTCAGTGAAGTGAACACTCTCAACTTAGTTTTCAAGCCAATATATGCATATTGAGTGCCTCCAGGTTTAGGGGGTTCTCAAGATGTCAGAAGAAAGCATGAATACAGGCAGTCCCCGGGTTACAAACACGATAGGGACTGTGGATTTGTTCTTACGTTGAATTTGTATGGAAGTTGGAACAGGTACATTTTTTAAGTGTAACTCCAGCACAAATCTTTTTTTTTTTTTTAGTTTTGGATAGCATAGGGAGGGGTTTACCCCCTGTAAAGTTTGTTTTGCTGTCTCTGCCCCTGTTCAGAAGATTTCACCTCACTTTCTGTCCCTGTGACAATTGGATTTGAAAATGTTGGGTTGCCGTGGAAACAAGGATTGGTGATAAAGCTTCAGTGGAGACACCTTTTTCCCATGATCACTCTTACAGGAGTGAATTTCCCTTCCTAGTTATAGATTTCCTTTCACTTCCTGTTGTCTCAAGGACATGAAGTGAGATTAAATCTTTCTAATGAGGATACAGACAGCAATAAAAATCTCACAGTGACCCCGGAAGACGAGGCTGCACGTCTAACTAGAGCCAACTTCCTGTAAAGTACGTACAGTACTACGAACCAGACCCAAAAAGGAGGGCACTCCTCATCGGCACGAGCGTGGTAGCATTACAAGTACTGAAATGTTGTGCGGTACACATTGGCTGCATCCTGGGACCCCCTGCTGTACAGTAATAGCCTCCATTTGTAAGTAGGAGTCGGATGTTTGTAACATGGGGACTGCCTGTAGTTTTAAATGTCAGTCAGTTGAATCATCAATTCATTTATTAAATCCATTCAACCTAAGCTGAATGAGCACTCCTCATCAGCACGAGTGCGGTAGTACTACAACTACCCCTGCTGTAGAGTAATAGCCTCCGTTTGTAAGTAGGAGTCGGATGTATGTAACCCGGGGACTGCCTGTATATGCTATTGTATTACCCACATAGGATCACTTGCAATGCTTGGTTCCTGTCTATGCATATTGGACTATGACAAAAATGGTCAGCAAGGATTGCAGGAGTTAAAAGATGGTGACAACCACAATGCTACACTGAGCTGATGAAGATTTCATTAGTGTAAATATTATCCTGGAAAGCGATAAAGATTCATGAGCATTCATAACCCTCCGTCATCTCACAGAATAAACAGTAAATGATACAGTTAATTTAGCATTTGGACTAGAGATAGACCGTATGCAGCTCATCCATCATATTTGGGGAATCATTCTTCAGTAGAGACACGGCGCTCAAACAGATGAGCAGTACCATCTGTCCTCGGGTCGCAATTGCCTTAACGGACTAATAATCCCAAAAATACAAGACTCGTATGAGGTGGCTGAAGTAGTAACACATTTTGTGAATAAGTATGTAAAAGTACCTGTAGCCGTAAGGAAATTTAGATTGCAAATGTGGTTTTTAATTTAGCTGTATTGGCTTCTGTTCTGTGTTATAAGACACTTTAGGCTGAAGGTGTAAAACACAACTGAAGTTTCAATTTTAATTCTTTATAGTCCTGTACCACCGCAATTTATGATTTGCAACTTTGTACCACAACACACACATGGTTCCTATATGTGGTTTGTTGTTCCTATTTGTGCATTTCGCTAGCACATAACGGGGTATTCTAATTGATTGCAGCTTCACCCCATTGATCAAGATAAGTTAACATTCACTTTGCAAAGCTACACTGCATCTGATCCTTTATTTAATCAACCCCATTGTAGTGATACATCATAGAGAGCACACAATCACCATGTCACTTGTGATTCAATAATAGGGAACATAGTCCAGTTTTGAAGTGGACATAGCTCCTCGCTTAGGGCCTGTTCACACGACGTCCGTTTTCTGTGCTGACCTGATCCGTGCGCTCCTGCACTAAAAATGCATCCCAATGTATCCCTATGCGTTTTATGGGCTACAGTTCTCGCGTGCGCAGTCCGTTCAGGTTACGACAGAAAAATACTGCATGTCACATTTTGTACGGTCAGGAAACGGACCGGAAATGCAAAACGCGTCAAAAACGCATCAAAAACGCACTGCACTGCAGCTAACATACTGACAGCTCCTATACATAACACTCTATTGGCCCTTGTCTCCTGCCTACCGTTCATCCTATCACTGAAGCCTCCGACAGTGTCTGTAGCATTTGAGGGATGTCAGATGTCTGTGTCCTCACCTTGCGACATAGTTCCAAACTCCGACCCCATATCCTCTATGGACGTAGGAGATGATAGAAGGGAACACAGTGCTCTGTGAGAAGGACTAGACATCCAACACTCCCAGACCTTTTAAGCGCCAGATAGACTGGAGGAGGCTGCAGCACTGGAATGGAGGAAAGTTTGGAGACACAGATGCCAGAAAGGAGAATATGAGAGCACTTCTCTTAGGATTTTTTGCTACCTGGAGGGGATCACTTTAAGAGTTCTCTCCTGTGCTAGATATATGTAGATTTAGTAAGACATGTGCATGAATATACCCCAAATAGACAATGTCCAACAAAGCCATCAGTGGTCATCTCTTATCTGCTCTATTGATCTTAATCACTGTGGAATTACATTAACATGATGATACTGCTGATGTAGCAGAGGTTTTATGTCATCATAAAACTGGACTGAGTTCCCTGTTAATGAATCACAAGTGACATACTTCACTGAAATGTGAAGTGACAAGAACCTGGAGGAAAGACAATGCCTGTGAGATGTAATGATGGATAACAGACTGAGACAAAGGCCTCAAGTTCAATACAGTCAATCCCTATAACTATGTGGGTGAATCCTGGTGGTATAAGGCAGGAGTCAAATGACATACTGTTTTCAACAGGTGCCATGGGGCTCCATCAGAATGATATCTTCAGAAACCTTATAGGTGTCTTCTGGTGTCACTAACCAAAAGGGAACTCTCTATATAATCTACTTGAGGGCAGGCAATGCTGCTTTTCTGTGTCTTTTACTTTCCAGAGAACTATATGTATAATACACTAATGACAACAGTAGTTTGACTGAAAAGCCATGCTCAGCCTGTCATAAAAGAGTAAGGGCCTGGTTTGTCAGAATTGCTTTTCTCTCCTTACAAGTCCAATGGAATGCAAAATCAGCTTGAAGCAGGTTTAGGTAGCTTAAAAGGAAGTAAATTGGCAGGTCAGAAGACAGTTATGTCCAGGTCACAAACACCTGTCAATGTACGCTGAATGATTTCAGAATCATCTTAAACTTATCTCGAATGCAAGCACAGTGGACCTGAAAGCAAGCTGCTTTTGGCTTCTGGCCCAAAGCACATCAACATAGGTCCTAAGGGGTGAAGACAAGCACTTCATGCTGGGGTCATAAAACAATAAAAACACGGTGAGTGGAGATCCTTATTAAAAAGAGGATGTCTTATTATTTTGGAAGTGCGAGCATTGGGCTGATTTTAAGCTATCAGGTCACCTGGAAAGAGTTAGATCTGAAAGTATTCATATTTGCCAATAAAAATGTAAATGAAAACAAACTGATTGCTGAACAGGCTATTTCAAAGGGGACAGGGCCTCTTTAAAGTGCACATTTGGTCATTGGTTACCTTTCCTTCATCCATTTGATTGTGGGAGCGGGATCTCCGACGGCCTTACAAGGCAGGACAATGTCCCTCATCCATGGTGTTGTCACAGTACCGCTGAAAGTCAGAATTCTAGCAGGAGCTGAAAGAGAACAAAGACATTTAGGTTCAATTTCTAATGGGAGATCTGGAAGAACATGGTGTGTTGGGTAGTCAGAACAGTTTTCTGTGTTGGGTAGTCAGTTCTCTGTGTTGGGTAGCATTTATCTTCTTCAAGAGGTCAGAGCTTATGTAACGTAACGAAGAGGGTTAAACATAGGCTTACCGGACGGGGTTAGGGTAAAAGAAACATATACTGAGAATATGAAGATGCTGCTTTTGCTAATCTTTTTCTCCTGGTAATGCTAAATACTTGTCTGTCATATGATCCAACGTCTGCAAAGCTCTCTAAGGCACTGATTTGGAACAGATATGGAGATCTGATTTACTCTGACTTTTAATCTGCATGATTGTTTGGGGTCTTTGACTCAGAAATGTAACAGCCAGGCAACTAGCATACATAGGAGGGCAAAACTAGTAATCCCTGTATTTCACTTAGTCCATGTCCCTTACACACCGGTCTGGTGCGTTACCACACGTGCATTAACGTGCAGTATTTTGTTCATTACTATGTGTTGTCTTCAGGCAGCTCATTTATTTTGACAATGCAATACAACTGAAGAAGTACCGCGAGGTACAAGTGGTGCACATCTGTGCATTGAGGTGCACTGGCAAGGTGCACTGGTTTACTGTGCATTGCAGTGAATCATGATAAAATTTGTGTTTTACTGCACATTAATACAACCCATAGGTATGAACAGGGCCATCCCTATAAAGAGGCATCCTGAGCCGGTTGCCTCAAGCAGCATCTCTGTGATCACATGGGGGCCTTTCTGGCCAGAGCGTCCCAAGTTGCCAAGAGCTGTTAGCAACCTGTGACATTGTGGCTGGCATCCCGCCCAGCTTCTGGGAACCAGTGACACCAGACGGGATTATTGACATAGCCAGAACCCAAACACCCCCCATCCCCTGTAACGTGTCCCACCCAAGCCACCCCCCTCCTGGGAACCTGTACCACCAGCACAGTGTGATTTAGGGTTGTACAGTAGTACATTAGCACCAACCATTGGCTTACAGTCAAAACATAGTAAAACCGCTTTATTATACCTTGTAGCCCCCATTTACACCTGAATGTTGTTGCATGTTTCCTGACAACGCTCAACATAAAGAATCTCATTATTTTCACTGGTTCCCATTCATACTTGAGCGCTGTGTTGCAGGAAAAAGAGAATTACGCATTTTCTGCCCTATAGACTTCTATGGGAAAGCCTGAAAAACATGCTTAATGTACATTTTTCACACCTAAGGCTCCATTCACAAATAGCGGTAGTGTTTTCCTTGCACGGTAAGCCAAATGGTAACATATTACTATAGCCGGAACGCGCAGAATCCGCCCATAAAATCGCGCTTGGACTATTTTGCGGGACGTGCAGTATTGTACCGTGAAGCTGCCGCAATAGTCTGAACAATGCGAATTGCAATGCATTGGTTTTTATGTTTAGTGCGTTTCCATGTGTATTCGTATGTGCGGACAACCGCTCATGTGTGAATGGAGCCTAACATCTATCTCCTCCTCCTAGTAGTTAGCTTTCCATTGGCTAAAACAAAACACTTAAAGGGTATCTATGGTCAGAAACTATAAATAAATCTGTATTTCTATACTGAATTTCCATACGTTCCACCCCACTCCTAATAACCATATCCATCTAGAAGTTTGTAATTACTTACTGAAGATGCCCATTGTATGAACTTCCTCAATGCACGGACACAATTCCACCCAGCCCTGTGAATATGCACTTTGTGTCACACCTTTCACAGAGCCTACGTTCTGAATTACAATTGATCGTCTGAGCAATGTAACATTATAATTGCTTGCTGTAAGCAATGCATCATGGGCAATGCAGTCTTGAGAAATGGAGATTGCATCACATCAAGCAGCAGGAAAAGAGACGCAAATTGTTGAAAGTGATGGACAGAGGGCAGCACTCACTATATAAAATTGATTTTTTTTAAATGTAAGCTTTGATTATATTATCAAAAATAAATGTAGTATGTATTCCTATTACAATGATGATGTTATAACAGGCTAGTACTATGTATGCTGGGGCTTTACAACTCCTTTTAGCCCAAAAATGTGCATAGAAGTACATAAACTCTTTACCCCAACCAGTCCGTTTGTCTCCCACCTTGACTGCCTTTAGGCATTCCCTAAAGACTCATCTCTTCAGGGAAGCCTATCCCACCTCAACCTGACCACTCAACCATCACGATCTCAAACAATTCATCCCCACACAGCTACCTCCTCATGTATCACTTCCCCCTCCCTTTTAGATTGTAAGCCCTCAGGGGCAGGGCCTTCCTTACCATCTGGTCTTGAATTGTATTGTGATTGTGATGTCTTCCTTATATTGTAAAGCGCCGCGCAAACTGTTAGCGCTATATAAAGCCTGTTTAATAATAATAAAAAAACAAAAACACTTCACAATCGTCTGAAAGCGCTCAGGCTCAAGTGTGAATGGTGGTTTAGGCTGACAGGCAGCGGGGCTTTTTTTAAAACCAAAATAAAAGCTTGATGGATGTTTGTGCAGCCCTAATGCTGCGCAGCCAGTCTAGTAAACGTTGCATCAATCTCTTTCTTAGGCGTCACCATCACCTATAACCCAATGATGCAGAAACAAATGACATGAAGAACAGGATCCGATGTCAAGACTAGACAAAGGCTCCCAGGAGACCGAGCTGTTTCTCTATCGCTGAATTTAAATCAGCCGCAACATTCCTGCGGAGCGTTCACCATCCATCGTCTGATTCACTTGTTGACTGGAACGGCTCTTTAATATTATGCCAAACACTGTAAAATGCCTAAATTAAAATAATATCAAGACCATTAAGAAATTAGATTATTGTTCTGTTCCCATAACCACAACATTATCGTGGCCTCTGCTTTAAAACAGCCTACAGTTATTAGTGATAATACAATAAATAATGAAAACTGAACACTACAGTACACAAGAAAACCGAACGAGCGAACATTACAGCTTGAACAAGGCAATTCATAAACCGGAGCTGTGTTTTCTTTGCCGTCCACCAACAGAGGCTCGGGCAGATTATTACACTATTCATCTTGGGGCTCATTTTGCTTTCTGTTATCCAGAAGGTGATCTTCTGCACAAGGATGTCCTTGAGGTCAAGGGAGGGGAAACCAGACACATGATTCTCACAAGATTTTTGGCAAAATGTTCAGAATTTAAAAGCAAAGCGATAAAACCGGGAATATACAGCATGAATAATTAACCATTCCACCAGCTTTGTCTTCCGCAAACGTCCTTTCCTTGTCCTGAAGGTGGCCGGGCGAACGCAGTCTGGATCGGATCATTGCAAATTGGTTTTACACACCAGGGGGAACTATGTCCATCTGATAAAATAGTCTGCACAATACGGCCTTACCAGCAGGTTAATGCCGAGGCTGTGCAATTTATCATATTCAGCCAAATAACTTTTCTCACAACAAACATAATTAATTATGCCCTAATTGTACCTCTGACACTTGGCTCGGTGCTGCATTTGCATTAAAATCGAGCTTTTGTGAAATAGAAATATGTAGGCGATGTTTTAACATGTCCTTTCCAAGGGAAAGTGTTCAGGCAAAGCAAACAAGGATAAAACTTCCAAATAATAGGGATGAGGTTCGGGTTCGTCACTACCATGGGTCTGCAGTGAATCCCCTGGGACTTGAGAAGTTCACAAATCTTGACATTTTGTAGTGAAATGTAGTGCATAGAGTTTGCCTTGGTCAGCGGAGTCACAAAAGCCAAACGTTTAAGAGAATGGATAACACAACCCCATTTCTATAAAAGGGTTGGCTCACAGCTGCCATATTGTTAGGGAAAGCTGAATATTGCATCTGTTATCTGCCACATACAAGGCTGTTTTAACACCTCTCTCTGGGCAGGTTAATAACACATCCTAGCTCCAATTATGCAAAGGCCATCAACACCTGGTTGCGACTAACATATTAATTGGATTGGAGCAACATTCACCATATATATTCCCAGAGAAATTTTGTGCAAGTCATTCTGAATTGAGAATTACCTGGATGAATGAGAACCTTCACAGACAATTTTGGAGAGATTTGTTTTTATGTTTTGGAATACAGGCATTAGTAATCCATGACAGTGCCCTGCTTCCCATGCCCATTGTTTGACATGGGACGTTTGGCTCCCCTGTAGACTTCCATAGGTTTCGCCACAAAGTCCAAAAACTTCAATCACGGTTCTAGAGACTGTTTGTGAATCAAACCCTGGCAGATTTGCTCACCCATTGCTGCACTGCGTGGCCTTTTGGTTAATGCAAAAAGACCAACAGTTATGGACATCGTCATGAGCACTTGGGATTCATGAGCTTATTACCAGTTAAGGTTATTACAATTCATTTCAGCACTCTGATATTATAATCCTAATAAATGAGGATTTGAAGTAGCACACTTAGGGGCCCATGATGTAAGCATCCAGAGTTCTGGGCTAAGTTTGTGTTAGGTGAAGGTTTACGGTTAGATTTATGGTTACATGTTAACAGTTAAGTTTTAGGGTTGTGTTACTTATAAGGTTTAATGGTTCTGTTTAGCATTAGAGGACTAACCTAGTGTCTTTTTTAAGCGACCTTGTCACCAAATCTTTTTTCTGCAGGAGTTTTCATCTTCTTTTGGTATTGGAATCTGTCCATGATGTTTTATGAGACTGCTGATGGGTAAATCTTGTAAGATGTGATGGGCCAATCCTTTTTAAAAATGATGAGTGAATAGGGTGCATCCTCTTGACCCTATGTGCCTCTACTCTCTTCATTTATCAGTGTCCAAGGGGAGGGGCTAAAGGTGGAGCTTAACTTTTGACTTTTAACAAAAAGGTTGACATTTGTATAGAGCTTTATTTAGTCCACTAACACTGCATTTTGGGAAAAGAGGAATGTGTTTTAACCTCCTTGGCGGTAATCCCGAGTGTGGCTCGGGGTTAATTTTCAGTACCATTAGCGGTAACCCCGAGCCATACT